TTCTAAGGGTCCACTTAAATCTGTCTCCGAACCTTATAGAAGGAATCGTGAAGATATAGACCCCACGCATTTTCCGCTTTCCACATCCTTCCTACAATAATTCGCAAAATCCAGGCCGACATAGAGTTTGGCGTGGCAGTCGGTTGTGCACCGGGACAGTGGAATGAGACAGCCTAAATGGGACCACTGCTACTGTGGCTCCACTCTGCCTCTGCCCCAAATCTCCAGGCTTCTGTGAATATCCTCCCTTGCCACCAGCCACTGGAGGGTGGGGGTGGAGAGTGCAAGCAACAGCTCTGGATGCCAGCCCCGAGTCCGCCCTCTCCCTCAAACTGCACGTTCTGCCACTGATCATCTTGTATCTCTTCCTCTCTCTCCGTCCACACCGTCCAGGCAGCATAGCTGGAAACAACAGTCTCCCACTGGCTAGCCTTATGTCCCACCTTCCTATCCATTCTTTTCACTGTACAATGCAAACGGCCTTTCCCTTTTTAAGAAGACTTTGTGGTCTCCTGTTGCTCTCAGGACAAAATCCAAACCTCACCCTGGCACCCCAGGCTCTTTGGGATCTGATGGCTGCCCGCCTGCTCAGTGTCATCTTTACCCCAAATTCCTCCGAATCTCCACGACTGTTCATCTCCCCCTGCCACCCATACATCTATTCTCCAACCATACTGAAATACTTGTACTTTCCTAATTATATTGGTTTCTCTCTTACTTTGGTCTAACAGTTGGTACACCTGCTATCTAAAATATCCTCCTATCCCCACGTCCCCAGCCTCGATAACTACCACCTTCCATTAGGATGAAAGCTCAGACATCACCTCCTCTGAGAGGTCCTCAAAAAGCCCCACTCCCAGGCCAGGTAAGCAGCCCTCCCTCTTGTGATTGCATTCTCCACTCAACCCCCAGGCTGTAAGCGTTGTGTTGGTCCCGCTTTCATACTACCCCTGGCACATTGCGTGGCGCTTCCTGAGCTCTTAGTAGACCTGCGTGGAAGGCAGACTGAACCGCACGCCTGGCCGGGGGACTGCGCAGACGCCTGAGAACACGTGGTGGCGCTGCGGCCAAGTGGGTCGGGAGTGCAACCTCTTCTCCACCTTGCACAGGGATGCGCTCCGTTGTCACCACGCCGGATCTTTAAGGTTCAGACAGTCTTCTGCAGGCAGGGACACTTTGTGTACTGCTGTGAAGTCGGTGACATATGTTTGGGTACTGACTCTTGGCCTGGTGCCTGGCGCCTTTCTTGAAACTTCAACGCTGAGGAGCTCCTTTCTTCACTTGAGATCCTGTGCAATCCTGCCTTCCTTAAAAGCCCCGGTGCTTAATAAACTTTATGTTTTCCGTTCTGCTTAAATATAGGAGATCAGGATTCAAACTAATGAAGACTCTAGGCTATTCAAGGGCTTGGTTCTCTGAATAATTCCTCACATTTCCGCACTCTGTTCCTGCATAGTGCCTTGAAAAAGTACACAATACAATTAGCTAGTGGTTGGTGAACTGGGTGATTCAATGATTCAAAAGGATGGTTACTAGGGACATTTCAAGCTTCATGGTAGGGTAGCAGGAGAGAATGGACTTTTTTTCCCCTTGAATTTATTAAAGACTCCAGATAAAAACTGCCCACATCATCGCTGGGTAGGGTCAGCCACAAGAGGTGGGACAGCCTGGAGTACTGGGCTGGCTGTTTCTTGCCTTGCTGGACTTGATCCTACTTTCCTATGAGAAAGCACCATCAAACTGTGCTTTGAGATTCTTATATTTTATTTCATAAACCACAAACATGATGAAGCAGAAAGAGCCCTGCTTGGGAATCAGAAGCCCTCTGTTTTGGTCTTGGCCAGGACTTTTGAGCAAGTCACTTTGCCAACCCAAGCCTTCGTTTCCAAGTTTGCAAAATGAGATTGCACCAGAGGATCTTCAAGGATCATACAATTCTAACAGCGTGTGGATTACTGTGAGCCACGTTTCCGTGTGACTTGGGCAAGTTACCTGATTTCTCTACATCCTAATTTCTTCATCTGTGAAATACCAATAATAGTAGTAACTAGCTCATGGGCTTGTTTTACTTTTTTAACTTTCGCTAATTTACCAAGATGACTACATGCCCAGCACACTTTAAAATTTATTTTTTAAATTGACAGAGTTGTATTTACCTTGTATAACATGATGTTTTGAAGTATGTATAATTGTGAAATGACTAAATCAAACTAGTAACATCTGTGCATGGGTTTTATTTTATTGAGATGAATACACATAACATAAATTAGCAATTTTAAAGTGTATATTACATTCACAATGTTGACAAACCACCGTCTATATCAAGTTCCAAAACATTTTTATTACCCCTGAAGGAAACTTTACACTCATTAAGCAGTCACTCCCCACTGGCCTTCTCACCCCAGCCCCTTGCAACCACTAATTTGCTTTCTGTCTCTATGAATTTGCCTATTCTGAATATTTCACATAAATTAAATCGTACAATGTGTGACATTTTGGGTCTGGCTTCTTATACTTAGCATAATGTGGCCAAGGTTTATCCACATTGTGGCATCTGTCGGTACTGTGTTCCTTTTTATGGCTGAAGAGTGTTTCATTGTATGGCTACACCACAATTTGTTTATCCACTTATCCATGGATGGACATTTGGTTTGTTTCTACCTTTTGGCTGTTGTGAATAATGCTGCTATAAATATGGGTATATGTGCACTGGTTTGAGTTCCTGTTTTCAGTTCAGCTCACGGGGTTGTTGTGAGAACTGGACACATGGTTACTACCTAGTCGGGGCATGGGGGCACCACTGATGCCTTTAATATTATTCTGAAGGTGTGCAAAGAGGGTCCTACTGGGGATCTGTCCCAGATCCAGAAGCCAGATCACACTTTCTCTCCATGACTGGTTTTTAGTCTCTGTTTCTCTTCATTCTCACTTACTGTCATGGATGGCAGAGAAAAACCAGAGCAAAATGAATAAAGTGGACAAGGTAGGGGAGATGTCATGGGAAATGAGAATGGGAGGTGTATGGCTGGGGACAGCCATTGGGAAAGTATCATGAAGCAAGGTCGAGGGTCAGGAAAGATGGTGGTGGTCCTGGGAAGGATCAAGACTCTGAGGTGGGTTTGGAGAATGAGAAGTGCATGTTGTCGACACCTGTTCCTGCTTCCATAGGGGTTGGGGTGGGGATGGGGCACATGCCACTGGCAGAATATGGTCAGGGCAAGGGAATGGCTCAGGCAAGGATGAGTAAGGCAGCAGGAGATGGCTAGATGAGTGAACTGGTGGTTTTGTCCGTGACTCAGGATTCTGGCTGTTAATGAGGGGAGAGTTAGTGCTGAAGCTGGGAATGAGCTCTGGGAATTGTCAGCGTGAGGTCGGGTGACAAAATAGTAATAAGCAAACACCAGTTATTAGAAAGCTAAAGCTGCCAGGAAGGGCATGGTCTTGGCTGCAGGTGTCCCTGTTGGATGAGAATTGGAACATGCTCCTTGTGTGTGCCTGGCAAGAACGGAAGCCTCTAAGCGCAGGGTGTGCCACCGTCTTGAGTTCCAGGGAAACTCTGCTTAGGTGCCAGAGGAAGCAGAGGAAGACTGTGTAGCTTTAGACAAAGCAAGTTTTTCCTAACGTGGAGTAAAGCAGCTGAGACCTAGATAGGTTTCCTTCTTGACCCGAGGTTCAAGAGAACTGAAAGGAATTGCTCCCATCTTCACCCACATACTGGGAATCTGGATACAGGGCAAGAAGGTGGGATCCTGTACGTTGGTTCAGTTGAGGCTGCAAGAAAGTGGCCATGTCAAGTGTGTGCATCCCTGAATTGTCTATTCTGGCCTCAGTTATTGGCTTGATGAGATTCCCTTTCCCAAAAGTCAAATAAGGAGTACCCTGTGTGGGAGACCTTTCAGGGTGTATAGGAGAACAACAGTCTTGGCATAGACGAGGTTGTGAATCTGCAGGTTGCTCTCTTTGATGAAAATAACTCCGTCCTAACGTAGCACTTAGGGGAAGTGCCAGAATTTGACGAGGGAGGGAGCCTTGAAGCCAGGGCGGAACCACATTCTAATACTATTTTTTTTTCTGCACATTGCATGCTGTCCTTTGCACATCCTTCAAGCCTCTTGCCTCTCATTCTTTTTATTTCACAACTCACAAGTAACTTCTAGAGCCTCCTGAGAGCACCCATGAGAATTAGTGTTTTTTGAAGCTGGAATGAAATTTAAAGATCATCTTACCCAATCCTCCCATTTAACAGAGGAGGAAACACAGGCTGTGAGATTCACTCACAGGGAGGTTACCAGGCAGATGGGGGTGAGGAGTAGGGGGAGTTGTGGGGTGGGGATTGAAGAGTCAGGACTATAACCCAGGTCTCCAGGCTCCCAGCCCAGTGCTCTTCCCACTGTTGTGCAAGCTTTGAGAGCTCATGTGTGGTTACAGGAGTTTGTACGTCCCTCGGGGACCACTCAGGAGACAGCACTTCACTGCACCCATCCTAAGAACCTTGTTAGGTGTTAGTGGACACTAACTTGTGAATCAAGGAGACCACGCCTATTACTAGTAAGAATCATTAAGGATCAAGTGCTGAAAATCTCATTCAAGACAGAAGTAACAAAATCAGAGGAGAACATTAAATGTCAGGGTCAAGGGAATATGGAAAATTCTACATAAAATAATGTGGCATATAAGGTTGGTTCAAAAAAGAGAGTATAGAGAAACTGGACTTCTTTTATGGATGGAGGAGGGCCTCAGAAAGACCACAGCATCTTGGGAAATGGTGATATATTTAAGATTATTGTCTGGGCTGGAGAAACCAGATGTCCTCAGGACTAGATAAGTAAGTTATAAATATGCCAGGCACACAGTTGGCATAGAGAAAAATGGGAAATTTTGGGAGGTTTCCTGACAGAGAAGGCTGTAGATTTCCTTCTCAGTGAGGCTGCTGTCACCCTGCCCAGCCAGAGGCAGTGGCAAGGCCTGGACTCTGCTAACATGCTATGGCTTCCCCTCAGATGGCAGGGACAGCGCGCCATGACCGAGAGATGGCAACCCAGGCCAAGAAAAAGCTCACCACGGCCACCGACCCCATTGAAAGACTCCGACTGCAGTGCCTGGCCAGGGGCTCTGCTGGGATCAAAGGACTTGGCAGGTAGGACTCAGCTACGGGTAGCAGGGAATGGAATGGGAAGGAACGACTCGGCGAGGTGAGGCTAATGTTGGCCACGTGGTCTTGGGCAAGTCATTTCCTCCTAGGGCTCAGTTCCTTATTTGTAAACTTTGGAGTGTAGAAGAGTTGATCTCCTCATAGTTTTTGGATCTTAGTCCCAGATTCAGCAAGACTCATATCTGCTACAAGACAGTGCAGCTCTGGGAAAATATGAGGTAAAGGGAGAAGCAGCATGTGCCCTGGCATGGAGATGCCTACCAGGACAATGAAAGGAACTCTCTCTGCAGCTGTGATAATAAAGTCCAGGGTGGAAGAGGGAGGAAGGAACAGCCATTTAGCCCTAATTGCAGAATTTGGAGTTTTGCTCTCAGGCAGTCATTTCTCCGTCACTTCGAGGGACACTGGTATTGCTTGTCAGATAACTGACAGCTCACTGCCAATGAGGTTCTATCAGCTGGGTAGCTCCTGTTCTCCCACCCTCTGTCCTCTGAGTGTGAATAGTTTTAAGGATTGAGAAACCCAAGGGGAAAGAAGATTGTGAGCCTCCTGAGGGCAGGTCCTGTGCATCATAACAAACTCCATCAAGAGCCTGCCATGGGCCAGGCATTGGACACATCTCAGGGACCCTTGGGTGAACAAGGCTTCTTAAGCCCCCATGGAGGACTAAGACTATGGAGTACATGAGTGATCTAAATGTATCTCAGTGGTGTGAGAAGTTGTATATTAGAGAGTATAGGATGCCAATGGGAGGGAAATCCAGCCTTGCACCCAGCTGATGTGAAAGGCTTCACTTCCAGCAAGGTACTGAGTGCCTGGGAGACAACTCTGAACAGTCCCAAGTCTCAGACTAAGCCCAGATCTGTCAGAAGGCCAGGCAGTGGGGATATGGACCCTGGTGGCCAGGCTGCCCCAGTCCAATGGGAAGACCAGTCCCCATGCCCTCAATATTGTGTCACTTCAACCTCTACTCTGTTCATCATGGGTCCACATCATTGTCCTTAGTGCAAACCCTTGAAGAATCCTCTCTTCCACTCTCTGGTTCACTCAGTGGAATCCCTCCTGCTGCCTGTGCTGTCTTCATCCCATACCCACACTGCACACTGTGTCTCTACCAGCCTTTCTACTGGGAACCAGTCTACGGTGAACAGACACCATTCCATCCTAGACCTTTTGCAGAATGTGCCATCTGCCTGCCTTACTGACTTTGGCCTTCTCTAAGTACCTCCTAACTCAAGTGGAAGCTGCCCCTTCTCCTCCACTCCTACCTTAGGATCAGTTGAAGACTAAATACTCTCCTTCAGTCTAACTGCAAATCCCAGGTCATATTCACCCCTTTGTTCATTTATTTCTTTCCCATAAATCCTGTCTTAGAAGGGCATCTCTTCAGGTTAGACTCTGCCATCTTCCCACCTGCACAACATTTAGCATTCTAATGGCTCCTGGCACCATCTTTCCACCCTGTCTGAGTCTTTACCCTGACCAAGATCAAGATGACTTTATCATTTATAACCTTGACACCTTCATTTTTTGACATGAAATTCTTATGGTTTTCAACAGTGTATGTTCTTTCTTAGTAATTTCCAATTGCCTTGTAAATGTAGATACTTCTCTAGTATCTAAATTTTCAAGATTCTTTTGCCAGTATCCTTAATTTATCAGACACTTTGGCTACTCCTGAGTTAGCACATCTCTACTCTGGCCCCTTGCCACATTCTTGGAATGATATCCGTTCTTGAGATACAAACTAATTTCACCATATATATATATACACACACACATATACGTGTGTATGTATGTGTGTATATATATAAAATCAGGAAAGATATAGCTAATTAGCCAACTAACTAGTGAATATCTCTGTGTGGTTGCCTTACAGAGTATCTAATCCAAACAAAACAGGAGTCTTTTTTTTTTTTTTTTTTTGCAAATACAGCTTCTTCTGCAGCCCCTGCTGTCTTCGTGGTATTACTACTCTTCCAGGTCCTTGGGTTGAAAACTTTAGAATTACCTTCATTATCCCACCATATTGACTCCTTTATTTTTATAATATCTTGAAATCTTTCTTTTTTAATTTTCATTCCAATTGCTCAAGTATAGACACTCAACATGTTTTCACTGGACTCTTACGATAGTATTCTTACTGGTTCCTTTGCTTCTAAGTTTTCAGTCCTCCAATTCATTCAACCCACTGTTGCTAGAGTTCTCTTAGTTCTCCTATTGATAAAGTTCTCATTATTTTGATAATGTCACTTCAAGTCAACCATTTAATGACTTTAAAAATGACTTGCTAGTAAAGTTCAAACTTTTTAGCATGTAAGGACATTTAAAAGTCTTTAGATTCTGATTACTTCAACTTTCCATCTTTTATAAAGATTATTCTTTAATTGCTGGGATACATGGGCAGAATGTGCAGGTTTGTTACATAGGTATACACATGCCATGGTGGTTTGCCACACCCATCAACCTGTCATCTACATTAGGTATTTCTCCTAATGCTATCCCTCCCCTAGTCCCCCACCCCTGATGTTCGTGTTCCCATGTGTGATGTTCCCCTCCCTGTGTCCATGTGATCTCATTGTTCAACTCCTACTTACAAGTGAGATCATGTGATGTTTGGTTTTCTGTTCCTGTATTACTTTGCTGAGAATGATGGTCTTTTAATTGGGGCATTTAGCCCATTTACATTTAAGGTTAATATGATTATGTGTGAATTTGATCCTGTCATTATGTTGCTAGCTGGTTATTTTGGCCATTAGTTGATGCAGTTTCTTCATAGTGTCGATGGTCTTTACAATTTGGTATGTTTTTGCAGTGGCTGGTACCAGTTTTTCCTATCCATGTTTAGTGCTTCTTCAGAAGTTCTTGTAAGGCAGGCCTAGTGGTGACAAAATCTCTCAGCGTTTGCTTGTCTGTAAAGGATTTTATTTCTCCTTCGCTTATGAAGCTTAGTTTGGCTGGATATGAAATTCTGGGTTGAAAATTCTTTTATTTAAGAATATTGAATATTGGCCCTCATTCTCTTCTGGCTTGTAGGGTTTCTGCAGAAAGATCCACTGTTAGTCTCATGGGCTTCCCATGGTGGGTAACCCAAACTTTCTCTCTGGCTGCCCTTAACATTTTTTCCTTCATTTGAACCTTGGTGAATCTGATGATTATGTGTCTTGGGATTGCTTTTCTTGAGGAGTTTCATTGTGGTGTTCTCTGTATTTCCTGATTTTGAATGTTGGCCTGTCTTGCTACATTGGGGAAGTTCTCCTGGATAATATCCTGAAGAGTGTTTTCCAGCTTGGTTCCATTCTCCCTGTCATTTTCAGGTACACCCATCAAATGTAGGTTTGGTCTTTTCACATAGTTCTATCTTTTTTGGAGGTTTTGTTCGTGATTTTTTATTCTTTTTTCTCTAATCTTATCTTCACGCTTTATTTCATTAAGTTGATCTTCAATCTCTTATATCCTTTCTTCCACTTGTTCGAATCAGCTATTGATAGTTGTGTATGCTTCACGAAGTTCTCATGCTGTGTTTCTCAGCTCCATCAGGTCATTTATGTTCTTCTCTAAACTGGTTATTCTAGTTAGTAATTCCTCTAACCTTTTTTCAAGGTTCTTAGCTTCCTTGCGTTAGGTTAGTACATACTCGGTTAGCTCAGAGGAGTTTGTTATTATCCACCTTCTGAAGCCTACTTCTGTCAATTTGTCAAACTCATTCTCCATCCAGTTTTGTTCCCTTGCTGGCAAGGATTTGTGATCCTTTGGAGGAGAAGAGACATTCTGGTTTTTGGAATTTTCAACCTTTTTGTGCTGATTTTTCCTCATCTTTGTGGATTTATCTACCTTTGGTCTTTGATGTTAGTGACCTTTGGATGGGGTTTTTGTGTAGACGTCATTTTTGTTGATGTTGGTGCTATTCCTTTCTGTTTGTTAGTTTTCCTTCTAACTCTGCTGCAGGTCTGCTGGAGTTTGCTGGAGGTCCACTCCAGACCCTGTTTGCCTGGGTATCCCCAGTGGAGGGTGCAGAACAGCAAATATTGCTCCCTGTTCCTTCCTCTGGAAGCTTCATCCCAGAAGGGCACTCACCAGATGCCAGCTAGAGCTCTCCTGTATGAGGTGTCTGTTTACCCCTGCTGGGAGGTGTCTCTCAGTCAGTATGCATAGGGGTCAGGGACCCATTTGAGGAGACAGTCTTTCCCTTAGCAGAGCTTGAGCACTGTGCTGGGAGATCTGCTGCTCTCTTCAGAGCCAGCAGGCAGGAACATTTAAGTCTACTGAAGCTGTGCCCACAGCCACCCCTTCCCCAGGTGCCCTGTCCCAGGGAGATGGGAGTTTTATCTATAAGTCCCTGACTGGGGCTGCTGCCTTTCTTTCAGAGATGTCCTGCCCAGAGAGGAGGAATCAAGAGGGGCAGTCTGGCTACAGTGGCTTTGCTGAGCTGCACTGGGCTCCACACAGTTCAAACTTCCTGGTGGCTTTGTTTACCCTATGAGGGGAAAACTGTCTACTCAAACCTCAGTAATGGTGGCCCCCCTCCCTTCACCAAGCTCGAGCATCCCAGATCAATTTCAGACTGCTGTGCTGGCAGCAAGAATTTCAAGCCAGCGGATCTTAGATTGCTGGGCTCTGTGGGGGTGGGATCCACTGAGCTAGACCACTTGGCTCAGTGGCTTTAGCACCCTTTCCAGGGGAGTGAATTGTTCTGTCTCGCTGGCCTTCCAGGGGCCACTGGGGTATGAAAAAAAAAAACTTCTGTAGCTTTTTTTTGGTGTCTCCCCAAGTGGCCGCCCAGTTTTGTGCTTGAAACCCAGGTCTCTGGGCATGTAGGCACCTGAGGGAATCTCTTGGTCTGTGGGTTGCAAAGACCATGGGAAAAGCATAGTATCTGGGCCAGAATGCACCATTCCTTATGGCATAATCCCTCACAGCTTCCCTTGGCTAGGGCAGGGAGTTCCCCAACCCTCTGTGCTTCCCGGGTGAGGTGATGCCCCACCCTGCTTCTGGTCACCCTCCATGGGCTGCACCCACTGTCTAACCAGTTTCAGTGAGATGAGCCTTGTACCTCAGTTGTAGATGAAGAAATCACCCGCCTTCTGCATTGATCTTGCTGGGAGCCACAGACCGGAGCTGTTCCTATTGGCCATCTTGCTCAGATCACCCAACTTTCTATCTTAATTTCGTTATTTCTTCCTTCAGAACTGTCTTCTAGCTTTCTGAGATGCCCCAAGAATACTCTAGAAATTGCCGTTGCTCTGAAATGCATCCTTTCTCCTTTCACTTAAAACCACTAATTATCCTTTTTAGTGTTTCTCTTTCAATAACTTCTTAAGACCAGAGACTGCATCTCGTTCACCTTTTTATTCCTCTTTACAGGGCTTAGTGCAAAGTTTCATGCATTATAAATTCCTAAGCAGTGAATTTTATTGAATAACACATGGTGGCTTAATAATACATAATTAATTTCAGATTTATTTATGTTTTACAAAGAAACTGATAAGTTCACTTTCTGTAGCACTTCTGTCTGTTCATTAATTAGTTATATGTGCTTATTGTTACTGGAACATTATTATTTCTAGGTCTTCTTGGCTGACAAAACAAAGAAATATGTGTGTGTATAGTAATCTGCATATAAACATTTTTTGTTTATTTGTTTATTTTTAAAAGACAGAGTCTTGCTCTGTCACCCAGGCTGGAGTGCAGTGGTGCGATCTTGGCTCACTGCAACCTCTGCCTCCCAGGTTCTAGTGATTCTCCTGCCTCAGCCTCCTGAGTATCTGGGATTATAGGAGCATGCCCATGCCTGGCTGATTTATTGTATTTTAGTAGAGATGGAGTTTCACTGTGTTGCCCAGGCTGGCCTCGAACTCCTCAGCTCAGGCATTCTATCTGCCTTGGCCTCCCAAAGTGCTAGGATTACAGGCATGAGCCACCAGAGCCACCATGCTTGGCCTAAATATTTTCATATGTAATGATTTATGTCTATATTAAGCTAAACATGAGTTCACACTGATGTCTCCAACTCTAATCCATGCCTCTTTTCCTATCTTATCTCTAAATTCTCACTTCCACTTTGAGAAACCTGGCTTCCATCTTTGTTATCCATTTACTTGATGGTTCAACTTCAGTATACATGTACATCAGTGTCAGAATTGTTAACCTGTATCCCTGTGGGAAACAACTTTATCAACTAGAGTACAGTAAATTGTGTGCAGTTCCTGTGTCCTTATAGACTCTACTCATTTTCAAAATGCTTAAAGCAGCACCTGTCTCTCTTATCCCTTTACCCCTTTTGGGGATGTTTTGTTCTTTCATAATACAGTGAGATTTTCTTGTCACAGTTTGCATTCCTTCCTGTGATTTTCTGACTCCCTAAATCATTTTTTTAAAAATTCATATGCATTAAGGTTTATGCCTTGTTTTGTAAAGTTCTATGGGTTTTAACAAATGCATAATGTCATGTATCCACCATCATAGTATTATAAAGGATAGTTTCATTGACCTAAAAATCCCATGTTTCACCAATTCAATTATTTCCTCTCCCTTTCATCTTTTTACTGTCTCCACAGTTTTGTCTTTTTCAGAATGTCATGTAATTAGAATTATACTTTGTGTATGTGCGTGTGTGTGTGTGTGTGTGTGTGGTGGGAAGAGGCTCTTTAGTTTTGGAAGGGAGGGTGCAGAGAAGAATTTAAGACTTTTGTATTTTTATTTGACGAAACCCTGAGTATGGATTTTTTTTTTAAAAAAAATCTTTACACTTACACCTGTTCTTTGTAAAATTCTTCTTAATTTTTGTGTGTATTTTCTTCAGAGTGTTTAGAATTATGGATGACGATAACAATCGAACTCTTGATTTTAAAGAATTTATGAAAGGGTTAAATGATTATGCTGTGGTAATGGAAAGGGAAGAGGTGGAAGAGCTTTTCCGGAGGTTTGATAAAGATGGAAATGGAACAATAGACTTCAATGAATTTCTTCTCACATTAAGAGTAAGTGGCCCCATTAATCAGTATATCTGGTGAGTTTGGCTTTCACGTGGTTTGGGTTGGCTACCTTGAGGTTTTGTTTTCACAAGTTGTTAGTACACTGTGGGGAGGGGGATGAGCAGAAGACTGTGAACAGACTTAAGAACTTTTTGGAGCAATCGTAGTGCTGCTTATTATATAATAGCACACAAATACTATTTCACATCATTGAGGGGAATAAGATATTTTGTCACATAGGATACCAAAAAATCTCATTTGCTTATGTATGTCTCTGCATGTATTCTTCTATTTTTGTAGCCTCCAATGTCCAGAGCCAGAAAAGAGGTAATCATGCAAGCTTTTAGAAAGTTAGACAAGACTGGAGATGGCGTTATAACAATCGAAGACCTTCGTGAGGTGTATAATGCAAAACACCATCCAAAGTACCAGAATGGGGAATGGAGTGAGGAACAAGTATTTAGGAAATTTCTGGATAACTTTGATTCACCCTATGACAAAGACGGATTGGTAAGTAAAACAGTCTAATCCAGGGGAAATTTCTTCAATTTGAAATTGTAAGTGGGAAATAGGTTCAAACCCTATTCAAACCCTATATATTAACACGTGGATATATATTTGTAGTAAATAGAAGTAAACTATTTCCCTAGGAACCATCCAGAAACTTCCCCGTTGCCAGGGGAAACTTTCATGTTACTTCAGTTGAAAACTAATATATGTATGTGCACGCACACACTCATAGACATATATTGACATATATTGGTAAGGGATCCACATAAATGATGACCTGTCATCTGGGGAATGTGATGTTTTGATTAAACATGCCATTTTATGGTTATTATATTTACCATACTCAGCTAGTTGCATTCCAATGAACTATAATAAAACATTTAACTTTGAAATTAGATCGTAATTTAATTTTGGGAAACAGATTTACAAGGCTTTTCAGGATGTTTTAGTGCCTTCACACTCATCCTTATGAGCCTCATTTGTCATCACACTTTGTTATGTGGAAATGCCATTTGAAGGTAGTTTTCGGTAAAGGGGATGCCAAATAACAGAATTTACTCTGATTTATTCTTTAGTGTGCTTTGAGATTAACTTACATTTCTAAACTGCACTGAATTTGAAAACAAAATCAACCGCCCCATCTCCATTAACTTTTATCTTCAAGTTACAAATGCATAGCTTGGTAGGGTAAGGAATTATATAGCTCCATGACTGTGTCTAGGCTGAAATGAAAATGTCATCTGTCCTTTATCAACAGCCATAAATGGACTTTTTAGGAAAAAAAAAAACAAAAAACGACCAGAGCCAGTTCTGTTCTTAGGTGACCTAAGGATTTTTGTGATAAGGAAAGAGGGTTATCCCCTGGATAACAGTCAGCAGCAGCACAATCCCAGAGTTCATTGTCTCTTAAGCCCTTTACAGCACAGGAAAAGATTAGTGGCCCAGTGGACAAGAAGACGGTGGTTAAGGAAAGAAGAAATAAACCTTCCTCTTCTGAAGGGAATGTCCTCCAACTTTTTAAATGAAACTTTGTGATGAGTCTCATTAGCAAGGGGTGGGAGATAGGAAGGTGACCTTTCTGTCCTTCCTGCTGCCATTTCCCAGTCAGGGATGGAGATATACCCTCTATTTCAGGCTGAGGATTGTGGAGGCAGGTTTACAAAAGGGCCGAAATTCAATAGGGCAGCCAAAATCTTAGGGACAGAAATAAAAACTATATGTTTTCTTCCAGTATTGCTGGCCTTGATCAGTGAGATGTCAGTGGAAAAATAGCCAACTGCCATTTCCCCAAATTAGCCCACCCCTTTGTGGATCCCAGAGTGTGTCTGCTTCCTCTCTGCAGGTGGTTCCTTCTCATTGCCAGGGGAAACCTCAGCTACCCTTTTCTCAACAAAAGTCAAAATCGCCAGTTGTGATTCGGCTGATTCAAGTCTGCACACAACCCTTTTTGATATTTATCTTAAAAAGCCACATTAAGCTCTCAAAAGCTCATAAAGGTTATTGAGGTTTTTAGCAGTTATAGCACTTGATGTCATCTGAATGCTACAGACCCTGTATTGATACCCAACTCTGGCTGTTCATAATCATCACCAAGAGGGTTTATTAATAATGTAGATTGCTAGCTGTACTGCAGAACCACAGAATCTGATTTTTTGGAGGGTGGAGTCCAAGGCTTCACATTTTAATGTGTATCAGATGACTCTTACACTCATGCATATTTGTGATCCTTAGCTCTAAAAGGTTCAGAAATGACTGTTTTAAAATTACTAAATATAATATGCACATGATACCATTTAGCATAATAATGAATCTGGGCAACATTTTTGAGCACATATCAACTGGGCATTTGCTAACGGCTTACCAGGGATACCTCATTTAATAGACATAATAAAAGTTTTCTGAGAAGTGATGTGTAATTCAAACTTTTGCACACTGAATTGTATTTTAAATGCACAAGAAATTGTTGATGTAGAGGAACTCCATGGTAAAGTCTTTTATGAGGAGAATAATTAGCTTCTAATTTACCTCTTGCAAGTTGAATTATTTTGCATATGAAGATTTTTTGTGTTGAAGCATAGCTCTACTTGAAGCCAGTGTGCTCATTTATGGTTAAAAACATCCCATATAAGGCAAAATTTAAAATAATGCAAAAAATTCAGCATAGCTCCTAGTTAAGGATATTGTTTAAACTTGATAATCTAGGCTAAACTCTCAAATACCCAAAAAGGTGCTGGAGTTTGCAGCAGTCATGGAATTTGATGTCATAAATCTTGCACTAATACCCTACTGGACTCCCATAGCAGCTGGAAGCCATTTGGATGGAGGTGTGAAGCAATCAGATAACCTGTGAAACAAACTTTCCTTACCCCTTTTCTATCACTAAACCCCACTCCAATTTGGTGAGACATTTACTTCTTATTTTTTAATATCTAAGTTTTGAATTCTTCATGTGTATATATGACTTTATAATCACCATATTTTTAAAAAGCCTCTTAGGACTTAAGCCCTTCAGGGAATATCAGTCTATTACCTCATCCATCTCATAAAAAATTTTTAAATAATTAAAAAGATGTTAGGTCTATTACTGAGTGTATGTATTAATAGTAACCTAGATTTGTTTTAGGATTTTTCTGATGAATTTAGAGCTGAGGAAAAGGGATTGTATTGTGACTTCCATTATCCCCATCTGGGACCTTCCCCTGTATATATGATATATACCTTGTCACATAAATGTAGCCTAGTCAAGAGGCCTGCTAAAAGTAAGAGTGCCCAGTCTCTCATTTTTTCTAATATCAACTAAAATGAATAAGGATAGTAATTATTGCTAACCAGCAATTTACTGTGATGAGGGCAAATTTACGGGAGATTAGAGAATTTGCAATTCAGGCCATTCCCAATATAAGTTGAGTCTCAGAAAACAAGCAAACACCTAGCTAAGAGTAACTGATGGCTTTTTCTGAAATGATCAAATACATTAGCTCTGACCTCTGGCTTGACATCATCTGACTTCCAAGTGAGATTTAATGCTTCCTTTATCTTTTGCTCATCTTGGATTCCTTCTCCATTCTCCATCAGAGCCAGCTCAACTCAGGTCACCCCATCCCATTGGGGGAGTTTGGGATGGAAGCATGGGGGTTTCGATACCAGTCTCAATCATGTATTGGTGTTTCAGTTAGGGTTTGCTTTCAATCCAAGAAATAGGAAATCTTATTAAACATTGGAATACACAAAGTAGGTTTTTTTTTAATTCTACTTGATGTTCTCGCTTAAGTGGCTTAAAGAGAACACAGCTGAGGTCTTTGTGATTTTCCTGGCCCTTCCTTCATGATCTCAAGATGGTTGCCTAACTTTAGCCAGCACATCTGAGTTTCAGGCAGCAGGACAAAGGAGGGAGAAGGAGGGAATGAGAAAGGGCTAGAGCCTGCATAAGGAAAGCAAAAGCTTCCCTAGAAATTCATGTCAGATTTCTGTTGTATCTTATTGGTGAGAACTCTATCACTTGGCCATCCCAAACTGCAGCTGCAGGGGAGTCTGGGAAAGTGAGTTTTGAGTCCTTCAACTTTCATGGGAGAGAAAAGCTAGGGACCAGGAGTATTACAGTGGATTTGGAGGGAGTCTCACTCAATGGCTGTCACCCCTGGTCGACCAATAGACAATAGAAACAACAAAGTAAAAATATTAGGAGTTTGGTAATTTTAATTAAAAAATAATTAGCTGTAAAAATGTTCCTCAAACTGTCACAGTAAAGTGCACAGTCAAAATGGCTCAGGGTCTCGTGTATAACGCTTATACTTTACTTGCTATTTGCTGTTAAAATGATCCACTTACTTTGTTGGAGTATTTCACCCCTGCGGCCTTTTTGAGGACTAAGACTTTGTCTTAATTATCTTTGATATTCCCTGTTAAATTATTGTAGTGTGCACAACAATTAACTGGGATGTTTAGATTTTTAAGTAGTAAATTCCGCAACCACTTGCTTCCGAGATTCTGATTTAGCAGGTCCATGTAGGGTAGAGCCTGGGGACCTAGGCTTATGACAGGCACCCCAGGTGGTCCTGATGTAGGTGGTATGGATCCACACTGATAAACATTTCCCTGGAACCTCACAGAACATGAGAAAGATAGAGAGAGGGCAATAATGATGTGTGAAACGAAATGTAATCCCTTAATGAGGGAATTGAAAACAGAGGCTGAGGAATCCAAAGGAGGAGAGGAATAAAGAAGTTCAAGAAAGGGGGACGCAAATGGTATCCTAATTTTGACAGAGGCTGTATGCATGTATTGTAGATGTGTATTTACAGTTCAACTATGAGTTGAGTTCAAATGCCTTTCTTTCTACTGCCCTTCCTTATGTTTTTAGTGGGAAGGGGTGGTATGAGAGAGAATTATGGATCCTGTGACTTTTCTTTCTGTTCACTTATAATTTCAGCAAATAGGAGAAGGGGTTCAGTCGTCTCTTATGATTCCTGGAAGGCATAAGTATATCCCCAACTCATCATGTCAACCGACATGGTTAGAGTGTACATATTATCTAGACCTGCCAAAAATAAGACTAATAACTGTTTTTTCTTCTTCTCCAAAGGAAAGTAATATAAAATCCCAGCATAGATAAACACATTAGTCGATATTTCAAAGAGATGGTCATGGGTGTAGAGTGGAGAGAAGCCAGGATGGGCGGGAGGCATGAAGCAGGGGTAAGCTTTTTAGTCACCCTGGGCCTTGAATGAGTTATTTATGTGTTAGAAAAGCTTGCAACCCAGGAGTGTTTAACTAGAAATCTGTTTCTTCACCCACAGAAGAGAACTCCATTTCTGGAAAGGAAAACATCACTTATCCTGACACAAGGACGTGAAATGTTATTTCTGACGTGTCACAGAAAGACAGAAATAACTACAGTTGCAGAGCACTTCCTTCTTACTCTGAGTTTCAGTCTCCCTTATCTGAACTGAGGGCTCCCACCCTTAGAGAAAAGATGACAACCTGTGTCACTTTCCATTTAGGTTGGCTTAGAAACTTTCAAGACTTTCTTTCTCTCTTCCTAGGTGCTGTTCTCACACCATCCTCAACTTCACTTGTTCTTTTGTTTTAGATCATTTCCTCAGCCATGATCACACACACAAAGAAATCCTCTATTTCCCTTCTATTTACAGGTGCACAAGGTGGGCCCCCATTGACAGAGTGAGAAGCAAAGTTTTGTTTTTGTTTCTAACTTTTCCACTGCAGGTGACCCCCGAAGAGTTCATGAACTACTATGCAGGCGTGAGCGCATCCATTGACACTGATGTGTACTTCATCGTCATGATGAGAACCGCCTGGAAGCTTTAAGCATGTGACCTGGGGACCAGGCCTTGGGACAGCCATGTGGTTCCAAATGACTAAACCTCATTTCAAAAACCAGAATCATATTTGATTTCACACTCATCCTAATGTTTTTTTCTGTGTCAAAATACTGCATTTTCTGGGGCCAAAACCAGGCAGAAATAAAAGACATCGAGTAGCCAACTGCGAGCTTGCCTTCCCTGAGACTGTTTCCTTTGCTCTAAAATAGAACTTAAATAAAATGAGCTCTGTAAATCTCCTAGTGCTGTGCTGATACATGCAGGTGCCTAATCAACTTTAGGTTTTATCCCTTGGCTATTAATGAAAGCTTGAGTATTTTAATTAAAACACTCACCCATGGACCCATAGTTTTTTTTTTTTTTTACCTCTTTTGAAATGATCCGTTTCTAGGTGAGATGACAATTTATCTCTTTTTATGACTGATTGAAAGTCTTTAAGTGTTTCAGTGTCATTTGGGGACCAGAAGAAGACCACGTGTTAGCCTCAATTTCTACAAGAAAATCTTGAGTTTCACTGCCTAGGGTTTAGGGAAGCCACAGTTTGACAAATAGATTTAAAATGATTTATTTAAATAGTCATTTTAAAGACTAGTGTGAGAGAGGAGGCCATTTCTTTGAGCAGTAGATCCACGACTGTTCACAGTACTCCTGTGGCTAAAGTTTTGAAACTGGACTGGGCGCCCAGATTTTATGTGGGACATCTTGCCCTGTGTGTGGGCAGGCTATCCCAGAAAGCCTTCACCTGGTGGAATGTTTACCTCTTCTCTCTCTGCTTTCTGCCAATTATGTTGAAATTCCCACCAGCGAGGGCTGGGTGCAGTGGCTCATGTCTGCAATCCCAGCACTTTGGGAGGCTGAGGCGAGTAGATCACCTGAGGTCAGGAATTCGAGGCCAGCCTGTGCAACATGGTGAAAACACTGTCTCTACTAAAAATAAAAAAAATTAGCTGGGCTTGGTGGCACATGCCTGTAACCCCAGCCACTCCAGAGGCTGAGACATGAGAATTGCTTGAACCCGGGAGGCAAGAGCTGCAGTGAACTGAGATCATGCCAATGCACTCCAACCTAGAGCAAGACTCTGTCTCAAAAACAAAAAACAAAAAACAAACAAAAAAAATTCCCACTAGCAAAAGGAGATTGGGTGTGACACAGACTAGGATCACAATAATATTCCAAAGCAGGTTTTCCATCTTGATGCTTCACGGCTTAACGCCTCCTCCTCCCAGCATTAAGCTTTGGCTTCATATCGTTAATGTGTAGGACTCTGCCCATGAAAGGCTACTAGAAGCAAAGACAGCCCAGAGGCTGGAAATAGATAAGGAAACTACAGCTCTCCTTCTGTGTATTCTGTATCTGGGGCCAGAGATAAAAGCACAGTGACCGGTCTCTGGTTATGGTGCTAGAGACAATGTCCACCCACCTTACTGCTAGGTGAAATATCTCCTTTTGCCTCTGTCCTTAGCCGTACTCATCCCCCAGTTTGGAGACATAGACTGGGTTAATAGTGCTCTTTAAGATCTTATATATTTAATTGGCTCTGGATTCAGGGTTTGAACACACTTGCCATATTTTGTATCAATTCACTGTTTAGGTTTTATTTCATAGGCTTGGAAGTTGAGATTCGGATATGTATTGATTTAAAACATGTGAAAACCAGTGCTGCTACATAAGCATTATAGCAGTTATTAAATAACTTGCTGAGATGCTCAACTTTTTCTTGAGGATGGGTGCATCCCTGTATTACCAGAAACTAGTTTTTTTTTTTTTTCTTGATTGCACAAGTCTGATTTTGTATTGGATTTATTATCTCTGCTCATAGAGAGATTGGTTGGGCCAAAGATATCAAGTGTTATGAAGAAATGTGTAGAATTATGGAGAAAAGCAGAAGAAATGGTGAAGAAATGTATAGAAAAAAAATCCATGTATTTTTGCAGCCTGCACCTTGCAGATTGTGGCTAAGGAGAGGTCCCCTGTTTCCTGGGGATGGTGGGTTTCAAGCCTTTTGCTCTAGAAAGATTCTTGTCTTTGATTCTGGGTATGACTCATGCCTCAGCTTAACTGGGGCTATAGAGTGAGCATGTGATTCTGAGCAAGGACTAGGTTGCAGCTATCAGCTTAGCCTTCTCCGGTGATACTTTGCTTCCTGTCTAATGGGGGCACAGGGCACAGCTATCCAATTTCAGATAACCCCTACCTCATAGTGTATTTGGTCACATTTAGTTGCTTCTCTTCTAGCGCTTTGGGTTCTGGGCCCATGAGCAAGGTTCCACCAAGGCCCTTTCACCCTCTGGAAACAAGGTCTGCTAATAACCTAATGGTCAAGGGTCACTGCACTCCAATTCTCATTCTCCTCTGTGGCTTCTGGCACAGTCAGGAATTGTGCATTATTTAGCTCTACTCCTAGTAGAAGTGGGAGGAACATAGAAGAGACATTTAAAGAAATCATTTGCTAACATTCTTCTGGATATATTTTTGGTTATTTAACTTACAGATTTTAAAGCTTACTCTGTTTACAATTTTAAAAATAAGCCCTTAGTTCAGAAGATAAAACACAATAAAAAATTGTCAAAACATCCCCCAGGAAAATCTCACCTGTTGGAGCTGGTCCTCAGATGGAAAATTAAACAAGCCAAAGAAAAGAGAATGAAATTAGCGACTTTTTATGAGACAAGAATGATGTATGCAAACATTCTGAGAATGAGAGTTTGTCAGAACAAGCCACCCATAGCCATACTGAATTTGGATTTCTAACTCTAACAAAGGCAAACGCATGCAACAATGGCCAGAGACTGACTCTCTGCTGCTGTGCACATCGTACCTGGATTCCATTCACAGTGCAAATGAGAAACCCAGAATGTACAAGCTGTGCAAGCTAAAGTGTAGACTGAGGCAGAATTCTTTCTGCTGGTCTGTGGGACTGGTTTTCACAGTGATATAAACTGTGATAGGATCTTCTGAGGCACAGATGGCACTTTGGAGGACCATGTACTTGTTCTGTACGGTTTGGCAGCAGTCATGGAGTCACATTTCATACCCTAATCATGCTTTTCAAAGGCAGAGCTGGGTGTTCTCCAAGTAGGCTGCAGATTGACTTGGCATACATCATGGCTTGCAGGGGGAAATACATCCCATCAATAAATACTTTTTGAGATACATGCTTTTTTCTAGGCTGTGGGGACAGAGCAGTGAACTAGAATAATTGCAAGCAAAACCACTGGCTTTCAAACCAAACTAACAACCCACAGTTGTTAAGAGATCAAAGAGGGTAGAGAGGGAAGAGAAGAACAGGCAACCAAATTCCCCTCCCAGAATCTCATTCAGCCTCTGAAGCCAGTACAGTTGGAGCCCTTTCTATGGCACTGTGTTGGGGAGTGATGTAATCAATTTCATGAACATAGACAGCCTATCAAGACAACGCAAGGAAAATCCCTCTCTATATTTGGAGGCAGATAATTGTCTTGGCTCTTTAATTCTCTTGGCCAAAGTAGATTGTCTCACTGAGCCATGAGAGTACAAGTAGGTAATAATTCCACTCTCACTAAACTACCTGCAGATCCAGTCTATGTTGAAGTTTAATCAAATGGAGAGAGAGAATTTACCAGATGTATTCATAGATGGTGTGTGGGGGCCTTTCTACCTCTGCTTCCTGCAATTCTATTAACCTTCTCTGAGTAGTATACCTTTTTTGGATTTACGCATATCTATTTTGTTATTGTTTTTATTTATTATTTTTTTGATATGGAGTCTCGCTCTGTCGCCCAGGCTGGAGTGCAGTGGTGCCATCTTGGCTCACTGCAACTTCCATCTCCCAGGTTCAAACGATTCTCCTGTCTCAGCCTCCAAGTAACTGGGATTGCAGGTACCTGCCACTACACCTAGATAATTTTTTTGTATTTTTAGGAAACAGGATTTCACCATGTTGGCCAGGCCAGTCTCAAATTCCTGACCTCAGGTGATCTGCCCGCCTCAGCCTCCCAAAGTGTTGGATTACAGGCGCGAGTCATCACTCCCGACCATGCGTATCTATTTTGAATACAGATATGAAGAACCTCATATTTTCCAATTTTCCAAATTGGTCAACAAACTTGCTTTCCTGGAGATTATTGATTGTTCTTTTAAATTAAGATCCTGTTGAATGAAGCAGCAAAGTTTTAAATCCTAGAAATGCTTATGACTCAAAGAAAAAACAACGGCATCAGGGGTCTGACAGATCGCCATATAATGTTGTTGAGTTTCGTGTAACTGATCCTTTTGAAAGCCAATATTTCTCAGCATGATTTTACTCCTCCAAGTCACTTACACGAAAACTATGTAACTTTGATAGAGGTAACTGGTTCTTTTATTCTGAAAAAATTAAACCCACCTAGTTAACCCCTAAAATTATATATTCTAAAACAGATGATGGGTGAGATCTGTTGAAAGAAACAAACAAATGATTGATGGGGTTCTGAGAACATTGCTGTGTGAGAAGAATTCTTTTTGCCATTTCAGCTGGTGTGGTGAGAGGTTGTGGTGAAACAGCTCTTCCTCTCTGAGAATAGCATGACCTTCTTGTTTAATTCTCACACCTGCCTCGCCAAAGCCATATCTTTTCCCCTGAGCAAAGTATAGTGGAAGAACCTCTTCAGGAGTGAAACTCACTGAAAATACGAGCAGTCAACCAGTAAACAAGGTTTTAACACGGACCTTGCAATGACCAGAAAGGTAGAGTTCATCAGGGGAAAAAAAGTCTCAACACGTAATGGCCTTTTAAAAAAATTTTGTATTAGATTCTTCTTTTGATTCTTCCTAATGGAATTTATTTATTGTTTCTCTGGGATATTTCAAAAATCCTAGCAGCCACTGAACATTGTTGATGCCATGTGAGTTTCACAAAAGTCCCCGTGAGCACCACAGGCTTCCAGCTCCGTCTCCTGACACTAGAAGTGTGACACTCAGCTCAAAAACTCCAAGGATCACATCCAGCTTTACATTATGCCACCATTTAACTGTTACTCATTTCCAATTTTGTCCTGCTCCAGACCCTGTAATAAATGTACCAGGGACCTTGTGACTCAGAGCTCAAGCACTTTAAATTTGAAGAAAGAACTGAATATATAGTAGTTTATTATCCTGTACTCAAAGACTTGAGTAATTTTTTCTTTTCTGACCTGAATACTTGGCATTCAGAACCTGCTGTTGACTTGGGAACATCTTGATCTTAAGCTTGAAAGGTTTGAGTTGCTGAACTCCTGG